AAAAAAAGTTTAATTAAAGATTCTTGTACAGAATTTGTTAAGTAGTCTATCATAAAGTATAGCTATTGTTCAGAATATTCTATATAATTCTGTATACAGACTATTGTCGGCAAAATAAGCCTTTATTTTCGTAAATCAATACAAATAATATATTCTTGTAGTGACGACATTAGACACGCGAATAATGACCCAAACTGACCAGGCTGGCGATTTTGTGCGCATATTTCGTGTGGTATACACCAAACCATTTGATGTTGCCGAAGATATTGAGCGCTCGGCATGTCTTCCACCACTTCCTCCCATTTATTTGGATTCGCAAATGTTTTTATTAAAGTCCAGAAACTACGCGGACCTCAAGAAAGCGATCAGCGATTGGTATAACACGGAGATTGTGGGCAAAGATAGCGGCAATTGTGTTGAGACGGGTTCCGGCAATTCGGGCTCCGGTTCCGGTTCGGGAGAGTTCACGGATATTGTGGCCGAACCGTCCACTTCCAAGTAATCGATGAATACATTAAAAATACATCAATTATTGATATCATTATTAATGAGTTTAGGCTTTCGTTTGCATTGCATCTCAGGTCTAAGTGTCAGCTGTTATCGTGTGAAACGCTGTCTGTTTTCGCCAAAAATCAGACCGGATTTGAGGAGAGCTTCAACTCGAATAGAGTCGGAGCCAGAAATCGGTGCACTTTTATCGCTGTCCGCCTCTACTATGACTCCGGCTATCATTTGCATAAAACCCGACAGGGGATCAACACCACAGCCAATCCCAGTGCACCCAAAGCCGACAAAAAGTCGCCGTCTTGTGATATCAGCTAAATATTGAGACATTTTTTCAAACAAAAATCAATTCTTAATCATATTTCTTATATATTCTCACTAAACATATGCACAGAAACTACACATACGATGATAAATCGGTACAATTTATGTAATCATTAAATGCATAAAAATTATTTACTCTTTTTTGACGATTTAAGCGCTTTTTAAAATAATTCATTTAAATCGCTAAACTCATTGAGTGAATTAATGTGTAAACAAACAAATACTTGACATTTACAAAGTTATGTCTAAACTACTGAATCCCAATACTGAATGTTGAAACAGTAAATGCCTTAAAACCATTGTTAAACTCATTATTATATTATGTAAGCTATTTTATTTGACCCGGACAATAATTTAATGAACAAAAAACACAGAATCGTTTGGGGCTTATACTGTATTTTATCAGATGTTCATTGAATTCATGCACAAAACCATTACATAATTAGTGATAAATTTAATTCAATTAATGTATACTATAATTACTAGTCTTTAAATATTTAAATAAACATGTTTTACTATTGTTATTTAATCAATAAATGTTAAAAAAACAATTTTAGTTATTTTTTTC